CTCAAGGACTTTTAGTTATTTTAGTCTCATGAGACCAGAAAATTTAGTTTCTTATGGTCTTAGAGTCCTTCAGATGCCTTTTGGCAAATTCCTGGCTTCCGTCTGGCCACTCTACCATACAGGCCTGATTGGTGGGTTGCTGCACAGATGGTTGTTCTTCTGAAAGGTTCTCCTCTCTAAACAGCTTTTTTATTTGTAATAAATTTGCAACAATTTCAAAAACTTTTTTTTCACATTGTCATTATGGGGTATTACGTGTAGAATTTTGAGTAAATAAATTAATTAAATCCATTTTGGAATAAGGCTGAAACATAAAAATATGTGGAAAAAATTAAGAGCTATAAATACTTTACGGATGCACTGTATATGCATTTTTAAGACACAAAGTTTGAAATGAAAAGATTTTCAATTTTACACCCGTCACTCATTGATGTCGGTTAAGGCAGTGGACTAATCAGAAGAACTCAAAGGCAAGGCAAGCTTTGCAAGCTGCTGTTTAGAGTAACAAGTTGGCACAACAATGGTTTTATCTGACGTCAACATGGCAGAAGTGCTAAATCACACCGTTTTAGAGGCAAGGGTGCAATCTGTGTGAATGGCCACTAATTCACTGTTTGAAAGTATTTTTTATTCTTTTTTATACTTGTGACTATTTACATGACTTTTTTTTTCTGCACTGATATGATTAGCAGGTAGTTCCTGCACAAACTTTACACTGATTGAAGCAAAGCACTAAATATTTTATTTATATATATATATATATATATATATATATATATATATATATATATATATATATATATATATATATAATTAATGTGTTATATGTTAAAGTTACTGGATATTATATCACAGGCAGTATCTTTGTGTATGATATTAGCAAAGAAAATAATTTTACAAAATTGGAAGTCAGATTATGTGCCTGTTTTCGAAATTTGGGTTAGAAGCTTAAGTTTTGTGTTGCCCATGGAGGAAATGCGATATGGGATGACAAACAAACTAAACACATTTTAAAAATCTGGAGCCCAATTATGTTCTATATCAGTAATGCTAACTAGTAACTCTTTATAAGTGAGATTGGTCTGGAGTAAGTCGAATTGTGGAGCCTATGCATTTCTCTGTAAATTATTTTTGTTTCATATTTAATTATATTTATTTCCTTATGCTTTCTGGATGATGTTGTATTATGTTGTTTCTGACTATTTGTATATTTTGAAATGGCCTTTGTAACCCCCCCTTATTTTTATTTAATTATTTTTTATGTAGTTTTTTGTTCTGTTTATGTTGTTGATTATATCCTATGCTAAAAACAATAAAAAGATTAAAATAAAAATAAAAAAGTTACTGGATATCAGGGAGGGAAATTTTTTTTTAAAAATTGCAAACGCAAACTTATATGATTCTGTCTCGCTCATTTTATAACTACAACACTGTTACTTCATTGCCAACTACAGAGAAGAAAAAAATCAAAACAGACAGCTTTGAATAAGATGCCTCAGGGTCAATTCGTGCAGAAGTATCTTTCCATCTAAAAACGTGAGAAGCAGAACACACACTCTCAGAAATAAAGGTACAGAAGCTGTCACTGGCACAGCTTCTAAAGATTAAATTACATGAAATCAAATCGAACCATATTGATTTTGTCAGCTCGCATTGCTTGCATAGTTTGTCATCAACAGTTAGTTCCCAAAAAGCTGTTTTCATGTAAAGAAACAGCAAAAGGCACCATGTTTGGCATACGTTTCCTATTTGTGGCTGAAAATGTTGTTGAAATAGCTCGTTTTAGATTTAAAAAGTTAAATGTTGTGGATCAAAGGACATCAGAAGCTACATCTACACGATTCCGGATAAATCTGAAAACTTCTTGTCCAAATAAACCATTGATACACTATCAATTTAATAAGCCTCACAGCAAGAAGGTTGCTGGGTCGCTGGTTCGAGCCTCGGCTAAGTTGGCATTTCTGTGTGGAGTTTGCATGTTCTCCCTGTGTTCGCATGGGTTTCCTCTGAGTCCTTGGTTTCCCCCACAGTCCAAAGACATGCGGTACAGGTGAATTGGGTAGGCTAAATTGTCCGTAGTGTGTGTGTGTGAATGTGTGTGTGAATTTTTCCCAGAGATGAATTGCGGCTGGAAGGGCATCCGCTGCGTAAAAACTTGCTGGATAAGTTGACGGTTCATTCCGCTGTGGTGACCCCGGATTAATAAATGGACTAAGCCGACAAGAAAATGAATGAACACTATCGTTTTCCATTCTTTCCATCATCCACACTAAAATGATTTTGTTCAGTACTGCACATTAGCAAAAGATGCTTTTACCTGGATCATATCCGCCTGCCATTTATTTACTTTCCATCTCTTTGAAATGTTGCAGCAAAATATTGTTTCCGCTGCAGAACAATAGTTCCCAGTAAGCATTTCATGTCCTTTAAAGAGTGGCATGTACATATTGGCTTTAATCTTTAAAGGGCACATAGTTTACCCATTTTTTTTAATTTAATATTAGTATTAAGTTTCTTTTAAGTGTGCCAGTTTAGGTTCAGTTTAAAACACAGTTCAGATTTTTTTATTATAATGTATTAAAAAGTGTCATGTTGGGGGCGTGTACACAGCTCGCTGTTTTAGGGGCGTGTTGCTTCACATGAAAATTAGTTTCGGCTTCCCGCCCAATGTAACAAGGGGGCGGAGCCAAGAGCTCACCAGCTCTGTGTTTGCAGCAGACAGGCAGACTGAGAGAAGGTAAGCTACATGAGAGGATCAGCATTCAGTCTTACATGTACGACTCGGACACAGACCAAGCAGAGAGTACACAATTATTTGTGTCTTTGCATAGTTTTACACACAACTGTGTGCTAGTTTTAAGTGTCAAACTTGTACACCGAGACTAATAACCACGCACACTGAATTAACTTTGACTGAGGCACCGGATGTACAGCTCGAAGCCGTGACACGGCACACCAGACACTCTCTGTGGTGCAGCAGAAACATGAAGTGTCCCGAATCGTCGCGCCACACATTTTAGAACTCGAAACACAGGGCACACACAACAGCGCCCCAAGTCGGCGGCTGTCCGCGGCACCCAGCCACCAACTTGAAGCCGCGTGCACCATGACAGAAACCCACGCCCAGAATTCCAAAATGCATGGTGCCAATTTAGCCAATCAAAACACTCAGACGCATTTACGTCCATGCGGTTTGTAAGAATAAAAGCCTGTGAATGTTTTTTCCAGATACATTCCAGTTACTATGACCATTTATGTGAAGCTGCTTTGACACAATCTACATTGTAAAAGCGCTTAACAAATAATTAATAATTAACTTTACCTACAACTAAAACAACTAAAGTACGATTTATGAAGTGTGCCTTACACAGTTGAGTAGGCTTGACAAACCACATGTAGAAACCATTCTCTCTTTTTCTTTGTCTATACCCCCCCCCTTCCCCCATTCTCTAGTACCCAATTCTCTGAGCACTAATAGTTCCCTTGTATAATTAGTACTTGTGTATACTGCCTCTCCTAGTTGAATCGCTAGTGCCTCCTCAATTGTAACTTTTCTTGCTTGTTCAAACTACTTATTAAAATTGAGTTGAAAAAGTTTGAGGGACAACTTATGTCAAATCCACTTAAATTTGTAAAAACAATCAACTTAAATCGATTTATGTTGGGATAACATGAAGGAATTGTGTGGAACCCGGCATTTTTCCAGTGACAAAGGCATCTGTTAAATGAATAAATGTAAATGTATTTAGTTAATGAAACAAGCGTGTTTCTCATGAGGATATTGAAGGTATGGATTTTTTTTCAGGTCAGGTTTTCCAACTTTCTTCATTTTCCATTCCTCTATTAACCAAGCGTTTGATCGTTCTGCAAGAGAACTGAGAGATTAGTCAAATCACTTAAATTTAAATCCCCATCTTACCCTAAAATAGAGGGCCACACAGAATCGGCTGAGCTAAGTGTGTGAGTCAGTTGTGGTTGAGGATAAATTTTGCTATTCTGCTCTGCTTTATTTTTGGTTCTTCAGATTAATAAAGTGTTCTAAATACTGAAGGATAAATTTATATATATATATATATATATATATATATATATATATATATATATATATATATATATATATATATATATATATATATATATATATATATATATATATAATAAATTATATATAATAAATTGTTTATACAATTAATTGTTTCTGTCAAATTTTATGTAAAAAAATGATGTAAATCATTCAACTATACCATAATTTAGATAAGACACCCATTAAAAGGTCAAAGTAATAGTTTATATACACCAAAAATTGTCAGAACTATTTATATACAATCATCTGATGACACAGACATTTTAAATACTTATTCATTGCCATTTTTAGTCCTTATACTTTGCCACATTCATTTAAACCTCTAGACTTTAATCATTTGTCAGCTAAAGACATCACTTAAAATATAATATGATCACATTCTTTTTTTATATACTTTATTAAATATGGGTCAGAAGTATATGTGATTTCATTTGTACAAAATATATCTGATATGCTAAATTAATGACATTTGTGACCCCTTTTCCCTTTATTTCTATTAAATATGAGTGTATTTTTTCCTCATAGTACTGTATATTAATATTTTACCCCTTAAACCATTTTATTTAAATGTTGTTTTTTTTTTACATTTATGGTGACACATTTTGTGGCTGATGTCATCTTAATGAGTTTTTTTTATAAATTTTATATGAAGAAATAATTTGCCTGACCTTTACATAATGTAAACTAAAGACTTAAAAAGTAAACATTCAACCATGTCTTCTGATGGCCACTAGAGTTCAGTGTGAATCCACTTTGTACTCTATTAAAAAAGCTCTCTAAATATTCCTATTTGGAAATATTGATTTATGCATCTCACGTTTTTCAAAAACCCCTATTTAAAGCAAATCAACTCTTACCAATGTGTTAATAGCAAAAATTACAATAAAAAGTAGTCAAGAAAAAAAGCCAGACGTCTTTTTTTTAGCATGCTGTTCTTGCAACAGCATTTTTATTAGCAAAATAATGAATATTAGTCAACATTTCTTCCCATCCAATAAGAACCTACATTAAAGGGAAGTTTAAAACCATTTGAATTGATCAGGCTATTATCAGAAAAATGGTCTGCATTCCTACTGAAGGTTTCTATAGGATTTTCTATTATACAGGTTGTCTAGATTAAATTATGTAACCAAGTATGAACCTAAAACAACAAAAAAAAAGTCCTATTCTTTGGTCCCTTTAAATCCATTCGACAACGGTTGGTTCCCTTTGATCAGTAAAAATGTCTCTTATTGTGAAATGTTAACCTTTTGAGGAGTTCCCCATTAAAACAGTTCATGATGTGCAGGTGCACAGGAACCAATTCAACAGCTAATTTGAAGCTCACCGCAGTTTTTCCATCATTCCAATCACAGGCAAATCTGACACACACACACGCTGTGCTGCTAATGACGGCTGTACGAGATTCAGCACAAGCTTTAAAAACTCTTAGGAACAGGCAAAGAGCTTTTGATATGTTTGGATTTTCCTGTTAAATTCATAGTTCTGTGTGAAAGCCCATTTCTGCCACAGGATTACAATTTGTAGCTTTTCTTCATAAATTTAACTAAACAGAGCATTTAAATATGTAAAATCTGTATTGCGACAAACTTAAAAACTGTGAGTTAAATTTAGCAACTTATGAACTTTAAACAATCTCAAATGTGAAAACTTACAATTCTAGTCAAAAATGAAGGACATAACTGCAAAATTAGCATATATACACACACGCACGCACTGTGGAGCTTTAGTTAGAATTACAGCAAAAAGTAAAATCTGCAGCAAAATGTAGATTTTAAAGACTTTCAAGATTTAAACTCAAAGTTCCATTTAAGACAATTATGAAGACAAAATCTGAATTTTGACAGCTTTAAAGCAGAATTGCAACAAAAGTTAAAACTTAAAACGGTGGCAGACTTGCAATACTAAAGTCAGAAATGTAACAAATTCAGCATTGCCACATAAATGCAGAATTGTGACAAAAAAATCTGAATTGCAACAAACTCACTAGCTTCATGTAAAGCAGAATCGTGAGAAATTGTCTTAAAAATATTAAATACCAGGGAAAAGCGTGGATTATTAAAGTCAGAATTTCCATTTAGAGATAAATATAAATTGCGCCAAACTCGCTCACTAGATAAAGCAGAATTTCCAAAAATGTAAAAAAAAATTGGTATCACTTTTATTTGATGGTCTCTTTAACGGATTTTGTTGAATTTAAGTTACATTGCATCTACATGCCAAATAAATCTCAAAAGATTATAAGTAGACTGTTAGGTTGGGGTTATGGTTAGTGTATGTTCACAAGTACTTGCCAAGTCTCTTAGGCAGTTAAATATGTTGAAGGAGCAGACCCTCTACTAATACTCAAATTAGAAGTAATTGGAATGTAGTTGCACTGCAACTGTCAACAAAATGTGTAATAGTACCATCAAAATAAAGTTACCAAAAACTTAAATTAACAATTCTAAAAATCTGAATTCAAGATGAACCAAGTACTGCCACATAAAAAAAACAAGATTGCAATATATGTAGAAATGCGACAAGCTCAGAATGAAAAGTTTTAGCTTGCAATTTGTATCCCAGATTTGAGACCTTCTTGAAACACTGTGTAATATTTATTTAATTTTGTTTTTGCTACTTTTATTCCAAGATTATATGTCAAAACCAAAAACGTAAGTTAATCCTGTGACAGAAATAAGCTACTATACATTTAAACAGTCACTCACAGTTGTTTGGTCTTAAAAATATCAAGCTTTTTATACTACAGTTTAGCAGATGAGAGTTGTGTGGATAAATATCAACTGTCTCTTATTAAACTCAGTTGAAGTGGCAAAGAAAAGCACTGCAACATTAACTGAAGGCACATGACCTTAGTATTCGGAGTAAAAACTGGAAAAAAAAATTGTTCCCAGAAACCCTTTGAATGAAAAATAGCCTTTAAAAAGGACCTTTAAAGACAATGTCTAAAAATGGTGAAAAATTCCAGGAACAATTACAGTTGTACAATTATTTTACACAAAATGCTCTTTTTTTTCCTTCCCTAAAACACCCTAAAAAAATCTAAAATGTTCAGAGAACATAAATATGAAGTTAAGTAATGCATTCAACATTCAGGTTCATGGTTGACCTTCTTCCTGTTTTGGTTCTCCCAAAGATTTAACATCAGGCCACTCGCTGTCAACACTGCCAAAAGACAAAAAAAAAAACCACACACTTAATGGAAAAATAAACAATCTTACCAGAATGATATGAATTCATGCAAAATAAAAATGAAGCTCTATTGTTCCTGCTCACCAATGAGCTGGCTTTAGAAGAGGCCGCAGTCCTTTAGGTTGTTTTTGATGATGACATCAGTGACAGCATCAAAGACGAACTGCACGTTCTTGGTGTCAGTGGCACAGGTGAAGTGAGAGTAAATCTCTTTGGTGTCCTTCCTCTTATTCAGGTCCTCAAACTGACACTGGATGTAAGCAGCCGCCTCTTCATATACGTCAGATCCTTATAGAGAGTTTTTACAGTTAAGAGAGCAAATCAGACATCTTTATACACACACATTTATTCCTTAAAATCTTTATTATATTTTATACTTTTTCCTCTACAGTCCTAAACTATGTATTATTAAAAAAAACTATCCATCTAGACTTTATTGAAACTATTATTAATCTATCATTATAATATCGCTTATTATGATACCAGATACTTAAATTAAAATTAGAATAAAAAAATAGAAAATAAACACGAAAACAACTTGGTCTGCAATGTTCTAAATAAAGTTCTAATAAATCAAAATAAATGTTAAAAAATAAAGGGGGAAAATTATAAAAATAAAATAAAACAATGATTAGAAAACTAAATCTAGTATGTCATATTTTCCATATAAATTATAAAAGATCACTTATTATTATTATTATTATTATTCAAAATAAAAATTATAGAAAAAGGAACAAGTGAACAATTTAATGTGTAATATTTTCTAAATGATTTATAATATTATATCACTTATAACAGAAACTTTCAAATAAATCAAAACATTTATTATTACTAAACAATTATTATTTAGTAGGGATGTAACGGTATTGTAAATACCGTCATACCGCAATATTAAATTTTTTCGATATTACCGAAGTCGCATGACTCGGTAAAACTATAGATCTTCAGAGAAAATTTGCTCAGGCGAATGAAGCGAACGGGAGGTAGCTGAAACTTCATTTCCCATCAGCCCCGGCGTGGCCATAATCCTTTGCGGTCTGTTGTCGCTACAGATCCAGTAATGCGGAAATGGAGTGTGCTGCTAGTAGCGGAGATGAAAAAAAGATGGAAATGATCGAACCTAAAGCGGGTGTTGTCGCCGCGAGCGTGCTGAATAGCGGTGCTGTCGCGCGCGTTCTGATCAGCTGTGTTGTGGCGCGCGTATTGTAAAGCGCCGAGGGGGGGGGGGGTTGAGCGCGCATACCAAGAGAGGTGTTGTCGCGCGCCTACTGAAGGGCTGGACTGGACGGAGGTTGTGTCGCGTCGCGGGGGCACTTTTGATCGTTTTGGAAGGGCATTTTCTATCCAAGACTAAAAAGGACATGTGCACTGCACAGGTTGAGCCCTATGTGTGCACGTGCCTGCAAGTTGGGGAATACGACTAATAACAGTCATGGGGACTGCAGAAACACAGCACTGTTCAGATTGATGCAGACATTGACTTGTACCGCAAAGAGACCTCTATCTCACTCATGGTTTGTCTTCTCAAGTGGGGGAAAGACAATGCACAACGTTACCCACTGCTGTCAACATGGGCCAAGTCATATCTCTCTTGTCCCAGAAACCTCAGTCCCAAATGAGAGGGGTTTTTTCTGTTGCAGGGGACATTGTAAATACCCAGAGATACCAGCTTTTACCAGATTATAATTATATGATAATTTTTCTTTAAACCCATCTCTATCTAAGTGAGTGATTAAATGTTGAATGTGATGAGTTTTCAACAATACTAAATTGAAACTTTATTTTTTTACATGGTTTAATAATTTTTTGTTATTAAAATTGAAGGTCCTGTTTCAAAGCTAACAGATAGATGGCTAATTTGTATGTCATTGACACTTTTGGCACTTTTTTGGAGTATTTTCAAAAGTTTTTTTTTCCTGTAAATGATTCAATAAATACCGTACCGTGACATTCATACCGAGGTATTACCGTACCGTGAAATTCTGATACCGTTACATCCCTATTATTTAGCATTTTATTTTCTATAGTATTGAAGTGACATATTTAGCATTAGTGCTGCATGACTAATCGTATCACAATCATGACGTCAGCGACTGTGCAGTTATATGACGCAACAATGTTACAATTGTAATAAAATAAAAAAAAATAAATAAAAACATACTTTGACAACAGTTTTCTGATTTCCATGCCGCTAACAAAACAAACAAAATGTTTCTCATATTAGGGCTATCATACTGGGATCAAAATGTATTTAAATCTAAGATGCAATTTTATTCTTATAATATATATATATATATATATATATATATATATATATATATATATTTTTTTTTAGGCCTCCCTAATTATTTTTTAGTTATAATAATTTTTTTATCACTTTGAAAAAGTACAGTGGCTAGTACTTTTTCAACATTACTAGCCACTCTGCATTTTCACTAGCCAAAATTTTGTTTGTAAAATACATTTTATATGCAGAAATTTGACTGCGGCTTGATAAAATGACTTGATTTAGATTAGATGGATGAATTTCAACCAGCCAAAGTGGCTAGTGGGAGTGGCTCTCTAACCCTGCCACAGCTGAAATCTATCCGCATATGGCGGGTGTTAATATCAAGCACTGACTATTATTTATAATAATAATTATAATAAATTATAGCTATAGTTCTTAAAAAAAAAAAAATTAAAAAAAAAAAAAAAAAAAATCGAAATCCGCAAAAAAAAAAAAAAAAAAAAAAAAAAAATGCACCTAAATATCAGAAATTAGAATAAGCCAAGAAAAAAAAAGCAATTGGTGCATATTGAATTTCTGATTATTACTAATTAAACTAATAAAAATTCCAAATCGCACAGCCGTGTTTAGTATTAAATTACAATATTTTATAACGTAATTACATTTTTCCATACTATATTTTATAAAACAGCATTCCATTTGTTATGCAAAAATACATTTCTTGATTAGTTTTTTTTTCAAACAAAACTATAAGAATTGTATTTAATAATATATGTTATATAATTTATAATGTACTACATAAACAACTACAATAAGCATTTAATTTATTACTTTTAATTCAATATTTTATATTATAATTTATACAGATGCATTGTATTTTCTTATACATTAAAAAACTAAATAATAATATAAATAAACATACTACAAAATAAAATTCAAAAACATTACATTCAAGCTGTATTACATTCATTAAGCTGTTCATACCTGGATATTCTGGGAAACAAATACTAAGCGGGCTCATCCTGATCTTCTCTTCAAACAGATCCTTCTTGTTGAGAAACAGGATGATGGAGGTGTCCGTAAACCACTTGTTATTGCAGATGCTGTCAAACAGCTTCATGCTCTCATGCATTCGGTTCTACAAAGGAGACAAAACGAGCACCGTCTGAGAGGAATGTCCCAATGCAAAGCTTCTCAAAGAGCAGATTTAAATTTTTCTCACCATCTCCTCATCCTCAGCCAGGACCAGGTCATAATCACTGAGGGACACGCAGAAGATGATGGAGGTCACTCCTTCAAAGCAGTGAATCCATTTCTTCCTCTCAGATCTTTGGCCACCTACGTCAAACATCCTGAAAAGCAGAGGAGAGCTGTTCAGCAAGATGCATTCTGTGCAGGGCGGTACCAACAGAGGGCGGAAAAGAGTGGAACTGTACCCCCAGATCCAATCTTAGGCTACAAAAAATATATTAAAAAATGTATAAAAAGCTTGATATTTTTAAGACCAAACAACTGTGAGTGACTGTTTAAATGTAGTAGCTTATTTCTGTCACAGGATTAACTTACGTTTTTGGTTTGAACATAACTTTGGAATAAAAGTAGCAAAAACAAATGTGGCCTGAACTGGAAAAATGTTCAACTGCATTCACATTAACACAATAATGATCTGCTAGTGTTGGGGGGATACAGTAGATTTTCAGATCACCTTAATTTCCAGCTATGAGATTGCAGATACACTATTCGATCACATGGGGGAGTAGTGGTTATGTTTACTTATATGCTCCATCATTTAATCACTTCTAAATGCATGTTTTAAACTCTTCATCTTTTTTTCTACTATTGTAATCAACTTGCTTTGCATTTTGTTTTATCTTGTAATATAACTCAAACAATTCTAGCTAAATTAGGTGCCAAGACATAAATAACTTTAAACATCAGACTTGATGCATCCTAATGTGGTACAGGACAAGATTTGGTGCAGGAAAATTGATATGTAAAATAATAAGTTGATCCACATTTACGAGCATGCGCAAACAAAACCAAAAACAATGCATTACGTATGCCAGGCCATTAATGGATGCGGTCATTATGCTAGTAAACAGTACCTGTAGGGAATATGTATATGGTTAGTATATGTCTCCTCTGTTGGTTGTACTGGCAAATAGATTCACACTTTACAGATGAAGTGATAGCAAACTTCAAACCACAACTCTACCACAGAGTTTCCGTTAATCTACAATTGCTCAAACATGTACCATGTATGAAAATGACATCATCTTTTTCGAAGAGTCTTGTTTTGGGGTTCACACAGACTTGACAATGGCTGCATTTTTAAAACTTCTACTTTATTGTGGATTTACGCGTTTTTCAGTCAAAAAATGCTATTGTTGTGTAAATGAACCTGGAGAAATGCATAAAAAGTTTCACGTTTTCTGGCTGAAAATGTTGTGTAACCTGCCATCTAGACTCCTAACAGCCCCCCAAAAAACCGAGAACCTCCAATCCCCTTAATCTGTTCACTCAAAGCAATTTCACTGTCAATAAACAACACTGAGGTGTAAACATCAGTAACATTACAGAAATTACAAACAATATAATAAATAACATAAAAAATAAACTAAAATGCAAAATGTTTAAATTTGATTCACATTTAAAATCTATGCATTTTCTACATTACAACAATATTTAATATATAGTTTACTACATAAACTATTTTTAAAAAGTATCCATCTAAAAAAAACAAAATGCCATGGTAAAATATATTTTATTTTTATTATTCTATTATTGTGTAAATTTATTCTAATTACTACATTACTAATTACTATATTAAGATCAAAAAAGACACCATTGTATTATCTTCAAGAATAAATATTAGTGACATTTAATAAAATATTGGCTGTACTAAGTCTTATTCTATAATATTTATTATTATATAAAACTGCATTCCATTTAATATTGCATGGAATTAATTTCTTTAGTTGTTTTTATAAGCACAAATGTTATACAAGAAGCTATACAAGTATATTTTCTATATGAAATAAGGTGCTACATGACAAAATATTTAAATCTGCTCTGGAGTTGAAACAGGAAGATAATAAAAAAAGTAAGAGGACCTGCCTGAAGTTGGGGCTGACGCAATCATCATAGCAGCGTCAGCCAATGAAATTAGTTTGCAATTAGCTACTGTCTGACCTGGTGTATTTGCATAAAGTGATCGAATTGGCTGATGCTTCAATTGGCACTTAAAAAGTTACGCTTTATTCACAGGAGGCGTCAGTGTCAACGCTTCTCATTCACTTTGAAGGGGTGACATCAAGCATTGCCAAAAAAAATTGTGGATCCATGTGCAGAGGTTGGGAATTTCTCAGCTTTTCAAGTGCCAATGGAAGCGTCAGCCAATCAGATCACTTTATGCAAATACACCAGCTGAGACAGTTGCCGATTGTTTATTAATTTAATTGGCTGACGCTGCTATGATGATCTTGTCAGCCCCAACTTCAGACATAGCCTGTGTCAAGTGTTGACGCTGAAGCCCTGTGTGAATCTGCAGCGATCACCGCTGCTGTAGTGGCGCGGACGGATCCACAATTCAGTTCGGCATTGCTTGACGCTACCCATTTAAAGTGAATGGAAAGCATTGATGCGGACGCCCTGTGTGAATGGGGTTTAATATAGAAAAATTATCAAGTAATGAAATCTCATTACACTCCATGAAATAAATAAATCATCATTTTACAAAATTTACATTAGTAATGATGTCACTTACTTTGGTATGCCCAGAATTTGTCTGATGTTTCAAATCGAACTAAGTATAATTTATTATTACCTGCTGAAAATGTCAATTTTGGGGTCAAAATAAAAGACATAGTTTCTGTGCCTTTAAATGCAAATGAGTGGTTTCTTCTTACCCTGTGCTCGAAATAGATGCCATGATAAGAGCAATGAAAGAATGAAACCGAGACAGTCAGAAATGCCAGCATTAAGGCTGAACCAGGAACTTTCAGAATCACTATATGATAACTATATTTATCTTTTTTGCGATGATGAATGATCCACAAACAAACACTGTTACAATGTTCACTATGTCCTATAAATAAACACAAAATAAACATGTACTTTTAAATAAAGAAATGAAAGTATTTAAATAGCGCATGGAATTTATAAGCTATTTAAAAGCACCCTGCCTCATGACTCACCATCACAACTCAGTTCATAGCATACCTTGAATAGACTATTTGGTGTTTGTTAGTATTGTAACTTGGGTTGAGTTGTAGTTGGGCTAAATGGCATAGCTTTTATTGTGATTTTTTTGTCAATGTGTAGTTTTGTATTTATCTATATTTATTTAATTGTGTATATATACACTTTTAATTATTAATATATATTGTGCAAATGTAAAGAATTGTTCTATAATAATTAATTCAACTCTCTTTTGAAAGTCATTTTTAAAAGTATCACTTGGTGACCTATAAAGAAAATTTAGGTATACCTAGGAAGAGTCAAATAATAAGGAGTTCAGTACTTTAAAAAAAATAGCCATACAGTGAGCCTCAAACACCATTGTTTCCTCATCCTCATGTAAATTCCGCGAGTATAAAACCTTGGTAAAAACCAGGCTTATGAGAACGCAATGCAGACTATTATGTTGCTCACAAGGCTAGTCATTAGCATGCTTTTAAGATTTACATGTTCTTTAAGACCTGCACGAGAATCCACAAAATCAGAAGTTAAGCTATAAAAACACAGACTGATGTTGCTCATCATTAATATGCACGCCGCAGGCACCAATTGATTGGCCACAATGTTTCCTAGTGAGATTGCAACAATGATAATTTTCCTGTCCTTTTTAAAGTTTATATAAAACTTGCTATGTATTAGAGAAGTTACGATCGATCGCCATCGGCCGATAATCACATTTCATGACTCGAGCGGTACTCATTGATCTAACCATTCTCATGAACCCATCACAAAAGTTTGTTTACAAGTATACAAGCAGAGGAAGACCCAGAGCAATGTTTCCAAATTGCATTGTTAGTCATTTTTCTTACCATTTTTAAAATTTGTTTTTTCCATTTCCTTTTCATAAAGTGGCTTCTGACCATTACATACATGCAACATCCTGAATTTATTATCTTAGGTAAGGCAAGATCTCATACTTAAAGGGTACTTGTGCTTATGCAATGGCAAAGTTATAATAAGCTTGAAGAATCAGAATCGGTACTCGGTATCACCATGACAAGGAATCGGTTCTCTGTATCGGCTTCTAAAATCCTGATCGGAGCATCCCTACTATGCATGCGTGACTCAACCAGATGGTTTTCGACAAGCAATCTATTCATATGCGCATCTGGATGCAAAATGTACAATATGTGAATTAAAATATGTATTCAGTAAGGAATAGGTTATCCAATAGTAAATCATTCAGTAATAAAATAAGGAAAGTTTGTTTATTATTTTAATGTATTGTGTTTGTGAAATTTCAACATACACATGTAGATTGCGGAGTAAGTGTGTTCTTATAAAATGCACCATTAAAAATAGTGTCTTAACACTCAACTATAATTGTCAACTTTCTGAAGTGAAAGAATAGCAATACACTTTATTAAATGCCATTTGCTTGCGCAGAGCTTAATATTATTTCCTGGCTGTTTCGGTCTGTTTTTTTTTTTTTTTTTTAAGTTTAATCATAGTTTAGCATATATTTTATTCACAACACAACTCAGGACCAAAATAGATTACTTCAGTGTTTTTAATAGATAGCTTGCTCACTCCACATAGGTAAAATCAACTTCCAGTACTTAAAGGGCCATGAAACCCCCTTTGTTTCAGCAGGGTGTTTTCACACCTCTACTTTGGAAAAAGTCAGAAAAGTGGGCGTGTCCAGCTCTGTTTAGGGGGGAGTGTCGGAGGAAGAAAAGTGGGATAGTGTGGGTGTGTCTATTTGGGCACGCGCGAGTTTCAGAGTCAAAATACACACACACAGTAGAAAGTGATGGTGTTTAACCTACATTGACATCTGTAGTCGAATTATTTGCCAAATTATTAAATGGTGGAATTTAACTGCAGTTTGGCTCTTTCATTCAGGGAATTCATTCATGTCCCTCGCGACAAACGAGATATTTGATTCGAGGAACTGCTGTAAGCGTGTATTTTTCATGCAATGTTTGATACCGCACGGCGAATGAGAGAAAAAAACCTCTGCATTTCCCGGAAACTTAGATGCACACGGCAGGTAGAGTCACGGTGTAGAGTCACCGGTCACTTAATGCGGTGAAAACCCTACACGAGGTTAAAGTTTGGTTGTAGTGCTAACATGTCTACACTCAGTCCAATGGTTAACTTAGTTCGATACGAACAAACTGAATAAACAAAGAGCACTGGTCGCTCACTTACCAAATCTGTAGAGACAGGACAATCACCAGCAACTAGAGCCGCGTTTTTATTAAGAGAAGACTACAAGCGAATCCGGATCTCATCGTTTGCAGATGAGAACAGCTCTCAGGTAAACAATGTTCCTCCTTAGACACGCAAGTTATTTTTGTCGAGCGTCGCATACACTGTAATTCACACGCGAGTCTGAGCTCTCACAGAGAGAAAATGAAAACGAAACTTAACTGCAGCAAACTATAAAAGCAACACTTCACGCTTGTTTTGCCAACACAACGTGGTGTGAGTGTCGTCTAAACACTGTGACAGTAATGAATATTAATGAAGTTTCACAATAGAGCGCGCTGATTGGTTTGAACCAAGCCTTACTCATGCATTAACGCAACATACTGTAAGACGTAATAAGACACACTCTGGCACAGACGTCCAGTCTGCACGCTAGAAACGCTATTATGTCATGACCGTGACGCAGCTTCAAAAATTCATTTCAAACCGGAAGTACGAATTTGCTTGAAATAACGCAAAAACAACCAATTTACACTTTTTAGTGAAATATAGGTGTCCTAATAGTGTTTTTAGCAGTGTGGGACACATATACGACTGTCAACAGCTCAAAAAATGTGTTTTGGTGTTTCGTGACCCTTTAAGTTAAAAAGATTGAACAACTCATCTACTACGCTTGTTAAATTAGAGCTCATTAACATTCATGACCATTCCAAATTTGGTCAATATGCAGATTCTGATTCATGGGGTTTTTATGGGGAAATAAATGAGCATATAAAAACAGTTTCTGGAATTTTTTTACTTGCCTAAGCCAGATACCTACTATGTAGATATCGGAGAACAATTTAACATGTTGAATCAACGAATAGTCAATTGCACACTTAAACATATCAATTAATGTCACTACTATAGGAAAAACCCAAACATTAACTGACCCTTAGTTTTGGATTTTAAAATTAAAAACTCACTTGAAGTGAAGATCCTTGAATGTGAAGTGGGTTTCCACAATACCAGTAGTCTTCACTCTGGTCCTCAGAACATCTTGCTGTGTTGGGACATATGAACTATTGGATATTCTGTCCAGATCATTCAGGTAGCTAAAAAGAGAAAATACTGTTCAGTTCATAAAAAATAAATAAATAAATAAAAATTCAAACCATCCTCTTAATTATTTAACTTATCTGTAAAAAGCAAAACAAAAAAAGCCATTCGATCAGTTTATTTAGAATAAAAATGTAAATTCTATAGTAATTCTGCTTGATTGTTGCACTAAATAAAAAATGCCCTTTTATACAACATCTGTCACTTTAACAAACACTATACACATGGGCTGTATCCAAAACTGCCCCCTATACCATTAAACAGTGCATTACCCTATACCATTAAACAGTGCATTATTTGCGGGAGCAGGCAATTGTAGTGGCCCAAAACTATAGTGGATGTTCTGAAGTGCACTCAATCAATCCCACAATGCATCGCAAAAACAAGTGTACAAAAGAAGTACACTCAACAGCTAGAGAATACCCATATAATCTCAACCATTTATAATATTAATATACATGCACTTTTCAAAGTAAAGCTGTACAGGTCTTTAACATGTCTTATAAGAAGCACTTCTCACAAAACAGATACTTCATACACAAAAAATTCTCTATAAATGTTCATTACTAATCTTTCTATCAAAATAATTTAAAAGGGTAGCCAAAAAGTGGTATGGTACGGTACGGTTCGCTTTTTGGTACCTTTTGACAGTGGAATTGGCCACAAAAGTGTACAAACCTGTACCGTACTGTACCACTCAATGAATACGTACCATAAGGTTTAGTTTTAGCATACTGTGTTGACATTACATTTTCAGCTCAACAAAGGCATGAGTTTGAGGAGGGGATATCTGTATTATTGACCAATCAAATTATTACTTTAAAGGGCACCTATGGTGAAAAATCTACTTTTTAAGCTGTTTAGACAGACAAGTGTGTAGATATAGTGTATAGACAGTCATATTGGGGTGATATAAACACACACAGCCCTTTTTTTTTTCAATTTAACAACATAAAAACGGTGGCACAATTGGAGCGGTTTTTAGATCAACCGCAACTTGACGTAGGAGTGCGATCCCCCCGCTCAGCAATATTGATTGACAGGTGCATCACCATATCCTTGGTTTGTTGTTTCACGTCTGGCATTTTCAGCGCGAGTCAAAGCGTTATCACTAAAGGAACACACTTGCTCTATTTTTAGATGCAACTTCAGCCGTTTGCATTTCTCGCGAACACAGAAGCTCCCAGTGAGTGTGATCTTAACTAGGTGCAGCTGGAAAAGTGCAAGCGCGTTGCCTCATGTGCGCGTCTCTCCATTGGAAAAAAATAACTACCTTGCCTGCAGGTCGCATACCAGAAGCGCCGCTCTGCGTGGCGCAGAGCCATGCATTTTAGAATTCTAAACATAGGTTTCTATCAGGGTGCACAGGGCGCTTCAAACCAGCGGCTGGGCACAGTTGTCGACTTGAATCGATGTTGTGTTTAGCCTGATAGAAACCTATGTTTAGAATCCGAAAACGCATGGCGCTGCGATTCGGGACACTTCATGTTTCTGCCACGCCACAAAGTGTCTGGTGTGCCGTGTCGCAGCTTCAAGCGGCGCATCCGGTGCCTCAGTCAGGTTAATTCAGTGTGCATGGTCAATAGTCTCGGTGTACAAGCTCGGCACTTAAAACTAGCACACAGTTGGCTGTAAAACTATACAAAGACACAAATGATTGTGTACTCTCTGCTTGGTCTGTGTCCGAGTCTTACATGTTTGGCTGAAGAGCTGGTGAGCTCTTGGCTCCGCCCCCTTGTTACGTTGGGCAGAAAGCTGAAACTAATTTTCAAGTAAAACAACACATCCCTAAAACAGCGAGCTGTGTACACGCCCCCAACATGACACTTTTTAACACATTATAATAAAAAAATCTGAACTGTGTTTTAAACCGAACCTAAACTGGCACACTCAGAAGAACCATAATACTAATATTAAATCATAAAAAAGGGTAAACTATGTGCCCATTAAAAAGAATTAAGTATGTGATGTGACTTAAATGTGAACAATTTAATTAGGTTTAAGTTGTTGATCTTGCAGAACAAGTGTTACATGAAAATGCAATCACAAGAAACCCATGTATTCGATAGATTACATGTTGACGGTAAGGTGTAGTAATTCAAAAATAGATCTAAAAGCATTTATTATTCATTTTTATTAAGACTAAATTGTATTTACATGGCTAGAAACCTAAATGAAAGTATCATTAGAAAAAAACAAGTCATTTTGACTCATGTAATGCAATTTAGTAAAGTAGGTAATTTTCTCCTGTTAGCAAAAACGAGTGTCCCATCTAATAATGTGTGGAAATGACAAGATAATACTTTTGAGAAGAATTAAAGAAAATAGTAAGTGACATTTTTATACTTACAAAATATTAGCATTCTTTCATACTGATTATTCTTCATAATCAAATTAATTTTTTTTATTCTTAAAAAAAATAATAATAATAAAAATCCAATAGATGTTTAAATGTCCTCAGTAACACTTTTTTTTCATTCAAAATTTGAAATTCTAATCACCCTCACTTCATCTTGCTCATCTGGGTTATATGCAAACAGTATGGGTTCCCAGAATGCTTGGAGAACACAGCACAAATTTGCATTTTTGAAAAGTTTGCATGAAGCATATTTGAATCATAGGCCATAATGGATGGAATAATGTCTATAATAACTCAATGTGAACGAAATGTCGGCACACATTACACGTATGACGTGGTCAGTAACCACAATGTAAATTGGAGAAGGATTACGTGGTGATCTCAGAGGTTATTATGTGAAAACCAGGCCAAAAGCATGGCAGATATACTCACTATGAGGCAGAGTCATTGAGCTGGTACTCTCTGGAGCGATGGAAACAAAGCCGTACGCCTTCATCCCTCCAGAGCCGCTTGATTACTCCGGCAAGCTCACTCGTCATGAAACCCTCATCTACGGAGCCGGCCATCACAAACAGCTGTCTTGCGTCATCCTACGACAGTCAAGCCAATCAAATGAATTATGTATTCTGTTTTTTCCTCCATTTGCAACATTAGCATTACATAAATAAGTGGTCTGGAAATTCTCTGGCCTGCATTTAACCCCACTTTGCAGCACAGCGACAGCACTTACAGCTCGTTCGGGATCCGCAAAGTCAATCCTCAGGCGGCCCATGGCTCTTATGATGGCAATGATGGACTGGATTGTGTTGCTGTAAACCACGACTCTGTATTGTTTGCACTCTTCCTCTGAGTACCCCGCTTCATGGATGATTCTGTGGAAGAGAAGGACAATAATTGTTAATTGAACTAATAGAGCTAATGGTTTCTGGCACGTGTAATGTGAATATAGTCCCTGCTGAAGAGGCTGGAAGTGTTCGGCTGCTCGCTGTGCCAAACAACACCCATTAAAAGTGAAGGTATAATCACTGTATTTGCTTACAAAGTGCAGCAGGAAGGCTTTCGTAAGCCAAAACGTGCATGAAGTTGATGGGTTTTTAGAATGGGGGTTTGGTAAATTGCCTGAAATAGAGTCTGTCGCTGATAGAATCTCAAAACTATTCACTTTTTAATGTGTAACTCTATACAAATAACTGTATTTACTAAGTGGCTAAATTTAAACTTGCATTTAGCAGACGCCTTTGTCTAAAGTGACTCAGCAGGTTTTCTGCAGGTTTCATCATGTAAAATGTAAGACTTTTTGTAAGACCATTATGAATTGAATTTTAGACTTATAAAGGGCTAAAGACTAATGATTATTTGTAATAGCCTGGTTGGGCCAACGGAATGTTTTTTGCTTGCCACAATCAAAAAAAAAATCTTATTATTTCTTAGTGACATACTTTAATGCAGGGGTTTTCAAACTGTGGGGCGCACCAGGACCTATTAAGACATTGAGGAGTGCACTCGAGTAAATTATGATTCATTTACTCGAGTAAATGAATGAATGAATGAAAACTGGTGAGCCGGCGAAACGTCCTACATGACGGTAACAGTTTGATTGCGGCGTTTACTTCAATAATGCCACTAATATATGCATACTGCCACTAAAATATGCATACTTCACATGTCTTAATTTCGTTTCTGTTTAGTTCAGTTATGACTTTTGTCGAATTAAGGTGATCAAAAACTTGTTTACAAGCAGACTCTTAATCAGAGTATTGTCTTAACTATATTCAAATGGTATTAAATTATTGTTGCCCATGTAAACACTCAATGTTGTCTACACCATCAGGGCTCTGTGAACTTGGCTTTGCGAAGCAGCATTTTCTGTATGTACATACATCAAAATCAAGTATGCTTTGGCTTATGCTTATCCGCTTGTTAAGTGTGACGTCACGCGGAGCGGCTTCCGGGTCCAAGCGCTCTATTCAAATGAATGGGGAGATTCATGAAATGGTAATAATAAACGTTTACAAAGCGATTTAATACTTTCGAAAGTCACGATCGCAATATATATGTCCATGCCTAATATCCGATGTCCAGAAAGTGATTCATTGTTTTATAAATTGTTAAAATTTTGGTATTTGTTATGCAGCAAGCCCAGAGATTGTTGTGTACACTGACTTTATGTAAAATTAACTTTAATGTGTGATAGGAATAAAATGCGATCATAAACGAATGATTTCTCCACTCAAATGAATGGCGGCGGATTGACAGTGGAAGATGATTTACAGTTAGTTGTGTCAGGAATCCGGCTCAGCCATCACACTGAATCAGGTAAGCTATATATTTATGCTTCAATGTAATTAATGCTACGCATTTTTAAAAAATGTTTGCACATGCATTGTCATTTTGGCTCGAGGGAGGGGTGCCTGGGAGTGCGAGTGAAGTTGTACATGAAATTGTGCATGTCCTAAAAGTTTGAAAACCCCTGCTTTAATGTGCCAAATTAAGAAAACTGCACTTGTGTGAAGCACACTTCATAAATGCGCTATGATTTTGTGTGTGTGTATGTGTGTGGAGCAAATTTGCAAAAAAAGGTGCAGGTGTTGTTTAAAGTAGGGATGCAACGATTAACTGATTTCATTATTAATCACGCTTTAATTCATCATGGTTAATTAATCATAAGGGCCTTTTAACACCATGTTTTAGCACAAAACAAAACTAAAAGTTATGTCAACTGTGTACTAGTTTAAAGTTGAGCTTTTACACTGAGACTAATAACCACGCACAGTGGATTATCTATGACTGAGGCAATTAAATAAGGCAAGTTTGTTATTTTTAAAGGAGGGAGGCGCACGCGACGTGATCACACTTTTCAGGCGCACCTAGTTGAGATGACAGGGAGCTTCTGTGATCGCAGGAAATACAAATGGCTGAAGTTTACGGAAGATGCAACAAAAGTTACAGAGGTTCGCAAACCCACCTAAAGTTACAAATAATGGCGCTAATAAGAGCAATCGTGGTTAATGTTGATCTGCCAGCCGAGATTAACCAAGTGTTTTCAGAGAGAGTGCTGAAAGTCTCGAAGTGGATGAGCTGATGAGAATCCGGCTCCCCGCCTCTTGTTTATTGGGCTGGCTGTCTGTCTTGTTTTTTTCCACTAACACACAAAAACGTGAATCGGCGCAAAACGAGACTGAACATTTAAAATGACACAAACTGAAATCAAAACTTTTAAAGAGAGGTAGAAGTGAGACTTTTCTTCTATTCTTTTGTCCAATCTTTCTTTTCTATTCATTTGTCCATTCTATCTTTTATTTTTCTATTTAGTTACTGATGACTGCTTTGCAGCTTTCAGCATTGAACTAAATGATTTATTCTAATCTTACACTCATGTTTTGAAGCAGAAATATGATTGGTTCATTAAATTGAGATGGTTATAAAACCAATAGTGCAAAATGTATATTTCTTACTGCAATGCTTTTTTTTGTTTGTTGCAAGCCATAATTTTTTTTTCATGATGTAACATTCAGGGCAGCATGATGATGAGAAATGCAATTTATAGTTAGTAATATTTTTATCATCATCATCATAAACATTATTATTCTATAATCATTAGACATTCATTTTGGAATTATTGCACAAACACCAATAAGTCATTACAGAATTAGATAGTTTTTGTTGGTCCTGATTGATGCCGTTTTCAAATACAATAAACTTATGGTGCTCCTACATTTTTGAAGTTGGGAGCACCGGTGCTGCCAAGTCAAAAAAAAGTTAATTTCAAGCCCTTTAAACAAATACATATTTATAGACTATGAATAACACTTTAAAATATAAGGAGTTTTCATGTGATTTTCTAAACTTGTATTTAGTAATTAGTATTATTAGTAGTATTTTAATAAATGCATAATAATCATGATAACCATGAAACGGGGATTATTCCTCAGACTATAATCGTACAACCAAAATCTATAATCGTTGCATTCCTAGTTTAAAGTGTCAGAGAGATTAAAGAGCGCCTTTTCTACAGGTGGTTTGTGAAGCCCACTCACCTGTGAGAGGCACACTCAAAATAAATAATGTTTTGGGGTTGTTGTGTGTTGGGTTATAGAGGTTACCAGAGTCAATAAGGGTACATTTTACACAATTATATTATTAGTATACGTTTATACAACACTGAAAAAGTATTGTGATTGTCTGTTGTCGTCTGTGAAGCAATAAAGCTAGGGCTAAATGATAAATTGCATGCTATTGTCATACACATTCTATAAAGCTGGCCCAACAATCAGCTGTGAATCTCCAAAATTTACTACAAAAAGCAATAGTTTTCTGCCTAATTATGCAAAATATTGCATGCAATATCATCCTGCGATAGACGAACCGCAAACAATCATTCTGCAATATTGACAGCTGTTTACATAGCTTCTCTGTAAATTATGGCCTTTAGTAGTGAATGTTGCAAATGTTAAAGCTGAAAGCACATGCAAATACCACATGCAATGACCTTTTTACTCAAAACTTACTTCATAGCTTCAGTTGAGTGTCTGAATTAATTTCTTTTGTGAAATATAACCTGACACAGAATAAAGCATGCATCATGTATCATAATAGCATTCTAAGCAGTGACAAAGGTGTTGCATGATTACTTCATACTCTTGAGTAAATTTGCTACTGATCACATCATCGCCATACCTTAATGCCTCGTTTCTACTGACTGGTACAGTACGGTACGGTACGGTTCGGTACGGGTCACCTTTATCAGGCTTGTGTTTCAACCACAAAGGGTACCCTTTTGGTGGGCGTGATGTATGACAAAGTTTAAGTCGACGTTATGCTCGCTCGAATAAATGTCTACAGTAAAGCTGTACGGGTCGTACACATATAATAATGAGCAGCACTTTCCACAAAACAGATGCTTTATACACAAATACTTAATTATAAATGTTTATTACTAACTTTTTCTGTGAACAGGATTTGATTATAACTGCAGATCAATGACCAAATCAAAATATGATCAAATGATCAAAATAGGTAACTGTAACATCTGTAATTATATAAAATAAATAAATAAATGCAACATATGAACACATACCGCCCCTTACAGTCTCCGAAATATTTTTCATTACAGAAAAAAATTACACACAGCAAACATTTAGTACTTATTTGATTTCAAAAACACACGCAATATAGCCCACAGACAGCACAAACGTCTCATCTTTGTCTGTAATCTTCAGCAGCACATGCAAGCTCTGTTAGAGAGTAATTTTGTCTTTCCCAGTTCATAATAACCCAAAAGACAAAGATAAACATGGCAGTTTGTTCATGATTCAGGTTGCTAAAACAATTTTGCTCCTGTGTTTTGACGGCTTCTTTTTTTTTTCTCGCGTTTTACTCCCGCTTCACTCTCGCGCTTGTCTTTTTTTTCCTAAATGGATCAGATGACGGAGACACCTCAATAAAAACACACACACGTTATTATCATCAGCTCAAGAAGATTGTTATATCAAATATAGATGCGATCGTGAGCTCCCGGAAGAAAGCGAATACTGTCTCGACTTTGTATTAAAAAAACATGGCGATTCCTTTGTTTACGTTCTGTGCATCTCCACGAGCTCATAGCGTATCTCTGTAACCAATTAGCGTTCAGCTGCATGTGTAGCTCCACCTTTTGGTACCCTTTCTCCCGTTTGGTACCCTTTCGAAAGGGTGCCGAAAAAGTGGTACGGTATGGTTTGGTTCGGTACGCTTTTTGACAGTGGAAACGGCCATAAAAGCATACCAAACCGAACCAGATCGTACCACTCAGTGGAAACGGGTCATTACATGTGCAAATGTGCTATCGAGATATAGTTTGGCCGTAATTCAAACTGAAGTATTTTGTGAATGAACTGCGTTAGATTTGTTTATTTATTGTTGTTAGTCAATGAAGCAAATATCAGAAAAGAGAAGTCCCAAAAAAGAAATATCTGATCATCATCATTCCTTTCACCGTGTACATTACACTTGCATTACCGAGGCAGAGATTGACACGTTTTTATTACATTCCATCCAAAGAGTTCGGTTATCAACAACTGTGGAAAAAGGAAACCGTATCTGTGTTGACAACACAGAATAGACATGTAACAGAACGGTTAAGCAAACAATATTGTTCAGCCTGATAATACAAATGCAGCTTTTGTCTTTCAGATGCCATGAAATCACTTGATGCGATCTATGTGCTGACAACAGTATGCACATACTTATTAAATGGAGATGTATGCATTACATTTTACATTTATTCATACCAGCCACTTGTACAAACAGTATACATTGTTGGTTTTGTTGTCAAGTATGTATATGAATGGAACAAGTAATATTTGTATGACTTAGTTTTCATCGTATACACTGACAATAACCATATTGTTCTTATAACCTTTCATTTTTTGTGTGTATTAGCTGACATCGATTGATGTTGCAGTCTTGCAATTTGTAAATCTAGCCCTGAAGGGCACTACTAGGCCTGTCACAATATCAATTTTTTGTTGTACGATATATTATACCAAAATATTTATCGATAAACTATATTATTGTCATTTTAAGACCATTATATGCTGCCAATTATATAATGCCAGAATGACAATAGAATAGCAGCACAATGCAAATTCACTCTTCCAAAGAACACATTATATTTTATTCCTAAGAATATTTCATTTATAGTCATTTAAACAATTTAATAATACGCATTTCATCAGAAAGTGAAAACCCATGAATTAATAAAAACAAAAATGAAAAGTGCAGTGTAAAAAAGTATCAGATGTAACTAAAGTATAGTAAAACCATAGTGTTTTTTTAACCAATCTGACACTGACACCTCTGATAGAGATAGAGATTTTGTACAATCAGCTGAAATGTTGCTAGAATTGTTTTTTATATATATATATGGGTGCTATATATTGCATCACTAAAAATGATTGAGGTCATGTCCATGTGTTGTGTGATAAGTCGATATATTGATTATTGTGACAGGCCTAGGCACTACATATTAAGAATCCCTGCTGCCACGCTCAATATTTATGAATATTTAGCCTCTGAAAGTTAAACCTTTGAAGGCATTAGGGCATAGGGATGAGCTCTTCATGTAGTTCCTTTGTATCTTTTACTGCTGTAAAACAATGCACACTGACAGTACTGCCCTCTCAGTTAAGCAAATTAGTGCAAAATAAAACCTCAGTGCATGTGCTGTTAGAAATGTCAGGCTCTGCATTTACAAGAACTGAAATACTGTCTCTTTGACTATGCACTGTGATTGTCTGGAGCTGCTGCAGTTGCACAAAAGAGTGAGACTGGTGGCATTTAAGTATAGAATGTGGTTCTGAAAACCAGTGTAGACACTGAAGAAAAGTGCTAAATGAATGTTTGTCATTCTGCCCGTAACAATCATTTATTACAAAACTGCACCAAAACAAACAAACCAGAAACTATGCAACGAGGAACTACAAAGAAAAACGAAGACTTTACCGTTTGCATGACTGGTAGATTTTGGAAGGAAGTGAAGCTTGTCTCTTGTGAGTTTTGTTGCGTTATGGAACCACTTGATACAAATCAGTGATCTATGTTCTGACAACAGGATGTATTACTATTGCAATAAAACTATCTGTTTGACTTCAAATTTGACATCAAATATTCTAAAGTCAATCAGCCTATTGTGTATTAAATAGTCAAACAGAAAATAAGACAAGATACATACTAGATGCCAAAATCGCTTGTGTAATCAGCACTATTTTGTATGGAAGTTTTTTTCCCAAACAAAATAAAAATGAAAATTCTAAATGCCTAAAAAGATCAAATAGTAAATCAATCTCTCAAAACAACCCACATGATAAATAAAATGCTTAAACTACCAAATAATTTTATGATCAACTCTGTATAAACCTGTAATAATTCAATGATGAATCAAATGCTCAAACCAGCACATACATTTGAGCATTTGACCTCATATTTGGGTAGTTGTTTGGAGAGTTTGATTTCCTATTTGCTCTTTTTAGGCAGTTTTAATTTTAATTTTAAAAGTGTTAGGGAAAAAAAAAAACATCCATAGTTTTGCATGAATTTCTTTAGATCAGTGTTTCTTAACCACGTTTCATAAGACCCACCAATACTACATGTTTTGGACGTCTCCTTTTTAAGTCACTCATTACAGGTCTTTCAGACTCTGCTAATAAGCTGATGACTCAGTGTTTGGTTTGTTTGGTTAAAGAGCAATGTAAAATCTGCATTGCCGGTGGTTCTCCAGGAACATGGTTGAGAAACACTGATTAAAAAGAAAATTCATTCAATCATGCATACTTATGGATTTTCTTTAGATAAGTGTTTCTTAACCATGTTCCAGGAGGACCACCAGCACTGCATGTCTTGGATGTCTCCTTTTTCACACCCATTACAGATCTCAGGTCTTTCAGTCTTTGCAAATGAGCTGATGATCTGAATCAGGTATCTTTGGTTAAGGCAGTGGATCTCAAACTATTTTCACTAAGTACCACCTCAGAAAAAAATGTCTCTCCAAGTACCACCATAAACAACAGTATTGAAATAACGTAGCGAAGTTGGCCGAATTAAGCAGCTACAGCACTGCACAGTTCGAAAATATTCTAGTCATATTCATTCAATTAAATTATATTCCATACAAAGTATGAAGCCGATCAGTTGGTTATCTCATAACTCGCGGTGCAGCGTTCAGAAAAGTTAAGATGTTTTCAACAGGGGACACCTGGAATACGCAAGCGCGTCGGGCTACAGTTCTTACTCATTTTCATAGCCTGTGGGTTAAATTTTGGCACTCAAGTGACCGAGATGTAACAAGAGAATACACTCATTTTTCAAAATAAAAGATTTTTCTAAATAAATGATTGTTCAGACTCGGAAATTCATGATTTTTTTGTGCGGCTGGCTACCAATTGATCTATAGACCGGTGCCGGTCTGTGGCCCGGGGGTTGGGGACCACTGCTCTAGCATGTATCTGCTCTGCAAGCACCATGCACCTCTTTCTCTAGTTCTGCCCCAATTGAACTGATTTTTAGCAGCTGATAAAGTAATGCACTAAAGTAAACATTTTAAACATCGCTTTGATTGTAGGCTCAAGAGAACAGCCAATGCTGATCACATTGGTGCTATCGTACGCATGAAATGATTAAAATTGTATTCATTTTTTCTTTCATTACTCAGTGATTCCTCCATGTAATAATAGAAGTCCGCGTACCTCTAGTGGTACATGTACCACAGTTTGAGAACAACTGGGTTAAGGAAAATGTGCAATGCTGGTGGTCCTCCAGGAACATTGATTGAGAAAAACACTGCTTTAGGCAATCAAGCTTTGTTGTTCAGTTTAGGTTAAAAAAAAAAAAAAAAATCAATGGGAAGTTCCTATTGGGTTTTGACTGAGGGCAGCAGGATGATGCGAACTCTATCACTTCCTACAAAAAAAACACTATCACTTCGGCAATCCATTGCTTAACGCTAATGCATTTGAGGATGTTTCAAATGTTAAAAGGTTATATGACTCTGACAAAGGGAGGGAAGTCCCTTAATAAGTCAAGATCATAACCAAACGATTATGTAAGGCACATCTAATTGCCATAGATGCTGCTATCTTTTACATCCTGTGTGATATATTAAACATTAGGGAAGCAGTATGACATATTATGATGACATAATAAGAGGTTATACTTACTTCATTTGTTTGACAATTGTGCTTTTCCCGGATTCACCAGCGCCTGCAAGAGACAAGCAGAAAGAGTGCGTGTTAACCAGATGGACACACACCCAAACATTCCAGCTCTTTTCCAGCTCAATAAAAGAGTATGAGGAGCAGAGTGATCAAACACTCGCGGCTCCTGCCAGCTCAGCAAATGTGAAGTCAGTATCAGATTGAGCGAGACGTTCGTTTCATTTCCATCCCTTTGATTTCACCACATGTAAAAACTTGGTAGAGAGAACACCTTATCAATTTAGACCCTGAAAGAAATATGGACTGTTTCACTGAAAATAAAACATCACGTTGCATCCATCACAAACAAAGCAAAGGGAAGTGGGAAAACTAGTCATGTGAAATGGCAACCGAACAGAAAATAAAATGAAGACTGTTCAGATTTGTGTTAAGTGGATATTTCAGTCTGACTTTAACACACTTCCACACTTTGCTGGTGGAAGGTGCAAATCTTAATGGATTAATTAAACGACACCTCGCTGTAATGGGATTACTGACAGACTTTTCTAAACAGATTAGTTATGCATCTAGATATGCCAGTTGGCACAGGTTTGATTGCTGGGAACAGACAGTAGACTTAAAACGAAAGCAAGGGAATGCCAATATGGATCTTGGGATGCTCACATAAAAAACTGTTATATTTAAATTAATACTTTAAATTATAACACACTATGTTTCCAAAGTTTGGGGTTAGTAAATTTCGAATGTCGTTGTAAAAAAAATCTAATGTAGAGCACTAGGATTTCAATCATGCAAAAAACAAAGATGAAATTGCAAACTTGTAATAAAACATTTAACTCAGAATGCCAAAGAATTTGTTAAATGTTGAATTAAAATCACATTTAAGAATATGGATCACAGTGTAAATATTAAACTATACATTAAAAGTATTTACTATTTACCAAATACAATAATAGCTAATGTACTAGAAGAATGAACTAATGATAACCTAAAATTAATAATAATAAATTAATTAAATGAAAAATCCAATAATTATCTAAAATTTTGCAAGAACTTTTAGGTTTTAAAATGTAATTATATAAATGTTAAAATTGCATCATATTTATTTGTAAAAGGTTAAACTGCATATGAAGAGTTCAGATGAAAAAAACCTCTTAAGACCATCTGAAATTTCCCCTCAGCATTTTTCTCAGCCTTCTATGTTTGTGTTTAGTTTTTTCACTTTAAAGGCAAATGGAAAGAACTTATTCATGACTATACAAGAAAAATTACTGATCCTTCACAGAGTTGGAGAAAAATGCCAATTTTAGAAGAAATCCAATTTAATTTAGAGGTTTTTGCATCTAAACTCTTAATTTGTTGACCTAAAACCATTAAAAGAAACTCTTAAAATATAGCAAATAGGATTTGATGACCAAAAAAAAAGAAAACTATGATTATTTTTAATCCTATAGAATTGCATTTTGTATGGTTTTGTATGTTAATACATTATACTCTTGAAGAAACCTTTTAAAATGATACATTATTAGCATCATTACTTTAGCTTTTAGAATCAGATGAACCTTCAGAAATCCTTCTGATTCATTAAATGTTGAGAACAGCTTCTGTGCTGATTAATGCTGTTTGGAAGTGTGATTAACAGAAAGAACACTTTAATCAAGAACAGCATTTGAGTCATAAAAGAGGTTTTACTGTCACTTAATGAATTTAATCTATTCTTGATTAATTAAACAAAAGTCTTAATTAGAAAAAAACAATGCATACACCTTTTGATGCTAGACGGGATTAAAAAGGTTTTGCTTTTAAATAGTAAAAACAAAAAGGTTTTTAGATTTATCCACACAAATATTTAGTAATATCTACATATTATGCATCTTCATTACAATTTTCACAATTGAAAATAACTTGGTTTTTTTTTTAATATAAATCTCAACGATTCCATGCAGCTCTCCGCCTTCCGTGAGACAAGAGTTCATCCGTTCACTAAGCGAACATTTCAATTAACCATCTCAGTTGTGGTTAAGGATGTCCCTGTGGGAGGATGTCTCTCTCTTTCAGTCCCAGAGCACAAACACAGCAATTAGGCCACATCAGCATCTCTCGCCCAGATTCAAACCCTACTGTGACGAGACCCGACACAAGTGTGCTGTACACTTCCCCCAGAGACCCCCAAAAAACTCCCACATGAGAGGCTTGTGCTGCTTCATGTTCATCTGTACCATTAATTGTCCTTTGAGGTTGTAATATTTCCTGAGAAGCAAATATTGATTTCAACATTTCAACACATACATAAATGTTTCCTGCATATTATATTTTTCCAATTTTATTTACGTATAAAAACCATTTGAAAACGTGTTAGAAACCTGTTAGAGTGAGATTATTCTATTGACAAAGGATGATATTTTGCACAATCTCGGACACCGATTAGTTTGTCCAACAATAGATGTCACTGCTACTGGTTTCCAACATTCTACATAATAACTTCATTTGTGTTTACCAAAAAAAGGAAGAAACTCAAAGCATTGGAATAACTTAAGGGCAAGATATTTTCATTATTGTGCTTTAAAGCATTAGTTCACTCAAAGAATAAAATTTGTTTATCATCACCCTTTAGGTCCTTTCAATACACAGACTTTTGTTCGTTTAACACAAATTAAGAGATTTTAAATGAAATCTGAGTGCTTTTAGCAATGGTCCCAAGTCATTTGAAGTTCAGTTCAGAAAAAAAAAACACTGTCAAAACATTTGGTCGTTCAGTTATAATCATACAAACACTTTTGAGCAATAAATAAATCTGTAAAAAACAACTGTGTTCACCGATGTCTTCCGCACCATTTTAGAGTATGCATTTACTATTATTATTATTATTGCAAGTCTCTACAAGAACGCTTACATGTTGCGCTGCTGGTTTTAATGTAAATACATCATACTGCTCGTAACAAACATGTTCACTGACCTGACGCAGGAGAAAAGATATAGGTGAACAATCAAGTTATATTTAAAAAATATTTGCCACAAAAATTGTTCTTTAATCTATAATCATGTGAACCACTTAAGTCACATGAAATGGCTGGATGACATTTTTGATTTCTTTTTTTGAACATTTGGGGACTGTTGCTGTCTATGGAAGACCAGAGAGCTCTCGGATTGCATCAGAAATGTCTTAATATGTGTCCCGAAGATAAACAAAGATCTCAGTGTATTTTTATAATCATTTCATATGAAACACTGGACGCTTAAAGTATTGTTAAGTTCAAAACCTTCTTGTTCATTTCTATCACAATTATTGGTGACAAATTCTCTACAAAAAAAAACTATTGACTGGCCTGATTTCTTACATTTTTCAGCTTCAATTTTTTGGATTTTCACTCCTTTTATTAAACAGTTTTTAGCCTTGATAGCACCACGATATTGGAAAACTCTGATATTCCAATATTTATTTTTCTGCGATAAATATTGCGATATGAATAGTTTCACAAGGTAGTTTGAATAGCACTATTTGATGGTTTTATGGGGAGTCTAACAGTATTCAGGGACAGAAATTGAATAATCACAATGTAAAAAAGCTTTTCTAACTTTGCTTCGTCTCATTTCTAGTCCAAATACCTAAAGAAATTCTTAGATTAAAATATTGTTTGTTTTAACATTCAGATGAAATAAAGCAAAATTAATAGTTTTTCTTTAAAACAAGCTAAATTATTATAAAAAAATTAATATAATAAAGTTAAATAATGTTGTCAGTTTGAAATGTAGATATTTGGACTAGAAACAAAGACAAATTTTTTGCTAAAACAATATACTTTGTCGCATGGATGATTTAGAAATGTTTTTGGATCCTTTTCTGGGCTCTGAATGTCTTGGGACCATAGAGAATATCTTATAAAAATATTTTAACTTGTGCCCAGAAAATGAATGAAGGTCTCAGGGCATTGGAATGACATGAAGGTGACTAAAGAAAATAACAGAATTTTTCATTTTTGGGTGATCAAACGTTTAATGTCCCTATGTTTCAATGATATTCTGGTAAGTTAAGCTATCAAAATTTTGTATTAAGGGTTCTTTCAAATCCCCAACCATAAATGTTAGCAAGTACACTACATGCCAGACGCCAAGTGTTTGCTGCGACACTGTGAACCTGACTTCCAAAGCGCTAGTTTTACCTTTTGTTTGGTCTCCTGTGACTGCATTTATTATGCTGTAATTTAAGCCAGCATTTTGGTTTCTGAGCAACCAATGACAGTGCTAGAGAAGCACCCAATAACATGCTCTAAATGGTGAAGTAATGTGCATCTTCTTTGACTTATTACATGCTGATGGCCATTTGTGATGCTCGTTTACTTCTGACACACAAGATTCTTCAAATAACCAACCGTGAAAGTGCTTTCTCTTCTCACCAGTGGATGTATTATTAGAAACAACCCTGGCAGTGACCATTTGTCCTCCTAAATAGTCTAAACAGGAAGTCCTGCCTGTTTTACAGCAGGCGTAAGGACATATGTTGTCAATCCCCATTGCCAAAAAGCAAACAAATCCAAGAACAGAGCACAAGAGGGCGTATAATGAATCAGCACTTAGGGGGAATCCAGTTAACTAGATAATTAGATACCAAGTCCCATAAGTTTGATGACATAAGAGCAGGTTTTACGTCCTGTTTAGACAAAGAGAAGAAGAGCAACAGATGGGAAAAATTGTCTACATTATATGAGGGTTGTTAAATTATCAGATTTAAACATTATTATCATCATTTCATGTGCAAAGAAAAAAAGGTAAAGAAATTGACAAAGTTTAGGTGTGTTCACACTTAAGTTCACAAGGTTTATTTGGCTTATATACCGAAACAAATTCAGTAAAATTTCCTTCAAACTGTCATTTTAATACAGAAAGTAAAGACACCAAAAATAAAATGTATAACTTTTAAATTACTTCCAAAAAAAAAACACTCAAAAAAAAATGTACTGGGCTTAATCTTATGGATTTTTATAAATGTTGAGTCACAAATAAAGATGCCTTTGGAAGACCTGTATTGAAATATAATGCCTAACAATGATATAATGGTTTGTTTTGATGTCTTTGATCCGTGCTGATCTCACACAAGCTGAAAAATACCAGAGTTTATTTAAAAGCAAAGCCAGAAGCATCTTTTTCACAGGTCTCAATTCCTTTTTTCCCATGTGCACAAATGCTTAAACAGAAGAGTCCACAGTTCTTCAAATGAACCTCAAAATAATAAAGCAATCTCTCACACCTTTAATCAAACCTAAGGGTAAACACATTGCTATTTATTTTCTAGAGCTTCTTTTCAGTAAGTGTGTGGCATTTTCCCTAAAACAAACAAGTTAAAGCCATACACACCATCAATAATCAAGAAAGCCAAACAAATATTTCAATCACTAGAAAATAGTTTATTTGCCTTCATTTCATCAAAATTACCCTTAACCCAAAAAACAAAAAAAACTAACATACAAATACTGGAAAAGTACAGAAGAAACCTATGCAAAGCAGGATTCAGAAACTGAAAAACAAGTGGCCTCTATGTAAATCACAATGAATTTACAAGTCGGCTGCTTTAAAGGGAAGGAAAAGCAAACTGTAAACTGCAAATAGAGTTTAAATATTGCAAATGCACTGAATTTGACTTGGAATAGGAATCTCTCTAAGAAAATCTAAGGCTGTGATGGCATCAATTGTATTTAAAAAATTAATTCTATAGGGAAAAAGGAAAAATATAAATTTATTATATTATATTTCTGTTCTTTTCAAAAATGTAAATAAAAAACAGTGCTATGTTTGGAAATATTAAACTTCATTTATTAAATGAAAATATTGGAAGGAGATGCTCAAAATTAAAATAAATAGAAAACTATTTCATTTTCACCTAGACAAGTCTAAGAGGAAAAAAAAAAAATACAAATTAACCCCTTATTCAGCCCTTCCAGACTTTTTAAGCCCATTTTAGCATCAGCCACCCCAGTTTCCTTCAAGCACCCAGCAGGATCCTCCATATGCACAAGCTTATTTATCATAATTAAATGAGGGTTAGTCTAATCTATCAGATTGATCTCCCTAAACCAATCAAGGGAGATTAAATTAGATTAAACTAGTCTTTTGTTGGCTAGATTAGCCGAGAGCCGTTTGCTTCAAACTGGAAAATATGCAAAAAAAAAAAGTACGTTACTTTAAACGGTCGAGAACAAAAAATAAAATAAAAACAGTCTAATTACATCACTAATGCAGTTATTTTCCTTCTGTTATAGAAAAACATAGATATCAAACCGCCAAATCTCCGCGAAATGATTCGAGAGATATAATAGTGGGTTAGCTTTAACATGCTAGCGCATTGACTATGAAGAAAAATAAAAGTTTCCAGAGAGCATAGATACGCACCTAACTACTTCATTATTCACTCATAGCGTACTTAAATATAAAAACAAGCGATAAAGTTTCTCACACGTGCTGTAAAATGTATATTTTACGGCTTTTTCCATCACCACAGCAGCGAAACTTACCCAGCAGCAGCAGCTTGACCTCTCGCGACGCTTTCTCTCCATCATCCCGCAGGTTTCTGTCAATCATTTTACTTCTCTCCTGGGCGCTCTTGTCGTCCGAGCTCAGGGTGCACCCCATCTTTTCGAAGTTTAAAAGGCTTCTAAATGATTTAAGAAGTCGAAGTGTCAAAAAGTAAAGAATTATCATACACAGGCGGGTGAAATGTGGAGCCACCCGACGACTCACGCCCAACTCTTTCACACACGCGCACCGCCGCTTTAAACTGGAGTTTTTTAAATTTCCGGAGTTTCTAAAGTTAAAAGTATAAAAGTGACGGCGTCGATAATCAATCGAGTGCCTTTACGGCCATCGTTGATTAAAAAGTGAGTGAAATGAAGTCATTAACTGCCAGCCTCTGCCTCCGATTCTTCCACTGCTGTTAAAGAGTCGAACAGATCAGATCGGAGGAGTTTCCTGTTTCTTTTCATACATAGCCCCCCCCCTCCGCGGACGCGCGCCTCTTGAGCGCGCTCCCACACTCAGCTGCGCACTCAATGTGCACGCGTATTGGTGTCAAATTGTTCTCAGATTTTGATGTTAAAAATATATTTTGTGCGCATTATCATTCATATTTTTTATATTTAACAATCCATATTCATTCATTCATTCATTCATTCATTCATTCATTCATTCATTCAGGCTATATCTTGTCTTTGATATTCTGTTTTGTTCTGCCATCCTAATAACTAATTTAATTTAACTCTAAGATGAATTCCAAATATACTGGTCAGTATCACCCAAAATAAATAAATAATTAATTAATTAATTAATTAATAATAAATAAAATAAAATTACAGAATATAAAATTCTCCTTTAATTAATATCTTCAAAATGTATAGTATTTCATAAAATGCTGTTTCAGCGTTATATATACAGCATATTAAATCTGTAATATACAGGATTGTTTTAGTAAAAATAAACACAAACATACAAACACACACCTGTGCCAGCATTTACGCTGCTGCACATGTAGGCCCAATCCCAATTCTACACCTTAGAACTTCCCCTTACCGTTTTTGGCATTCACGTGAAGGGGAAGTGCAGTTCCAATTCTCTTTAGCTTGAAGGCGTAGGGCTAAGGGGAAGGCTTAGATGGCCCTTGAAGCAAAGATTTTTCTAAACCAAGGGGTACAAAAATTTCCCAAAATACACCATCTGCAATGGCAACATGGCTGCACACGGAGATCAGGAGGTCCACAAATTCGTATTTTTTATCATTATAATGAATTTTTACAACAAACAAGCTCATGTTTTAACACAGTCAGAACCGGGTTTATGTTTTACCGTCATGCTTTTAAAAAAATGCCACGCAAAGTTTCGTTATTTATAATCTATAATAATAACTCCTGTATAGCAGTTTCACAACATTCTGACACTTGATGACACTCGAATATCCTGTCCAAAATTCTAATGGCTGGGAATAACCTTTTTACAGAGTCTCGTATAATGTTAATGTTGTTTTCGTGTTTACATAGATGAATATGGCTATTTTGTAAATGCAGTATAGTTACGATCTTATTGCCACAGTAGACCGTTATGATAACATAATATATGCCTTCAGGGATTTCTTGAAGATAAATACCAAAAATAAGAATAACTACAGCAGTCGCGATTGTATGATCTCATATTAAGCAAGAGATCGCAATGTCATATGATGACATGTGCAGGTATTGTAGTGGTGTCCTATGTCTTTGGGGAAAATTTTTAAGCCCTTCCCCTTCCCACTCTGTTTCAAGGGCCAAGGGGAAGGGGTACAAAAATAGAATTGGTTTTGGGCCGTAATAACTTCCCATTTATAGGTTACATATGAGATTGGGTAATACACACACACACACAAATAGACTCTACAAAAAATTAAAGGAAGACTTCAAAAACATATCTGATCTCAACGCGGAAACATATTATGCAGGAAATTTATGCTGGTATAGAATGGGTAGCAAATGTTGCCACAGTTTTGATGAGAATATAAATTATAAACCCAAGACATGAGTTCAAAGATATACCTAAAAACCAAAGTGAAAAATGAAGCAGAAAGATAGTGTTTTTGTTGAATTTTCATTGTTGTCACAAGTTAGGCTTGTGTGCATGCCTAACAATATTGAGGCATGCTCCTAATACAATGATTATCATGCATCTGGAGATACCCAGGACCCTGAACTGAAACAAATGCAAAACTAGTGGAAGAAACCAAAAGCTGACAATGAGAAGTGGGAAAATGGCAGTGGATTCTGTAGGTAAAATTCCTGTTTTAGAGGTTGAATTTTTGTCCATCTACTGCACCCGTTGTTAATTCTGTTAATACCAAACTAGCTCAAATTTGTCAACAACTCCAACCCCACACCCTCACCAACCCTAAATGAAACTGACCAGATCAATATTCCAAGAATTTAACTTACTCTATGCCATCCTTTGATTAAACAGTGTTCATTTTATTGGAGCAGTTTCACAAAGGTCCCCTTGTGTTTACAGCAAATTTGACCTGTGAAAACAGAGCAGTATGTGAATGTTTTAGATTGGAAACACTGGTGTTTGTTTTAGTATACACTACTTGACAAAAGTCTTGTTATTGATCACAGTAAGAGCAACAAATAATAACTTGACTTCTAGTTAATCATTTGAAAAGTGGCAAAAGGTAGATTTTTAAAGATGAATCATCTGTTTTATCCCAATCATCATAAATACTGCAGAAGACCTATTGGAACCCACATGGACCCAAGATTTTCATAGAAATCAGTCAAGTTTGGTGAAGAAAAATCATGGTTTGGGGTTACACTCACTATGGGGGTGTGGGAGACATCTGCAGAGTGGATGGCAACATCAACAGCCTGAGGTATCAAGACATTTGTGCTGCCTATTACATTACAAACCACAGGAGAGGGCAGATTCTTCAGCAGGATAGCGCTCCTTCTCATACTTCAGCCTCCACATCAAAGTTCCTGAAAGCAAAAAAGGTCAAGGTGCTCCAGGATTGGCCAGCCTAGTCACCAGACATGACGAGCATGTCTGGGGTAAAATGAAGGAGGCGGCATTAAAGATGAATCCAAAGAATCTTGATGAACTCTGGAAGTCCAGCTAGAACACTTTCTTTGTCATTTAAGATGAGTTTATTAATACGTTATTTGAGTCATTGCAGAGATGTATGGATGCAGTCCTCCAAGCTCATAGGAGTCACACAATGTTAATTCTTTTTCCACTGCACCATGACTTTATATTCTATACTGTCCATGATTTCTGTTAAGTGACAAGACTTTTATCTAAGCAAAGTCAGACCTTACTGTCCTAAATAAATCATTAGAAATCAAGGCATGATTATATTTTATTTTGTTAAAATGAGCGTAATCTAGAGGCCTGTGCCTTTCTAAAATTCAAGTTATTATTTGTTGTTCCTAAAACTTGGACAGGCAACAAGACTTTTGTCAGGTAGTGTAGACCAGAGTTGCCAAAACTTGGGGGAAGGTTGGTGCTCTTCAGAGTTTAGCTCCAACCCAAATTGGACACATCTAGACAAGCTAATCAAGCTGTTACCACTACAAGTTTCCAGGTAGGTGTGTCTAAACCAACCTCCCTTTCAGGGCAAGTAATTTCACTTGGTGTCCATCTTTGAAACGCTTTTTGGGCAGTGTTCTGTTTGAATGGGCAAACATTGAATTTTCCAAAACTGTTTGCCAAACATTTGATTAAATTTCATTTTTGGAATCACCAATTAAGTTTCTTAAGTTTTTTAGTTTATTTTCTAAGCATTCAAATCAAACAAAATTACCATTTTTTCAGGTTGCTCATGGTAATGCGCATGCTCATTCAAAGCGAACGAGATCACGATAACAACCTCATTCATGGCCATGTTATTTATTATGATCATCTGAATAATGCCTAATACGATCACACTGGTGTTCTGAAGTAATTCCAAACTTTGGTCTTGATGGCACATCTTCTTCCAAAATTATACCAACAATTTGTTTACAAGTTTGTGGGCGTTCGAGTAGATGCTGCCATTTGACTTGCAATCGATGGGATTGACTCTACCCTGTGTTCATTTTATACAGATTAAAAAACCAAAAACATTTGTTAAAATAAAACAGTGGGCCTGGCTTGTTTTATTCTACTGCGAGCAAAGTAGGCACTTCATTCAGAAAGATCGGGAAAAGGGTTTGGGGAGAGTTTTACAACCTAACAGACTCCTCCTCCTTAACGTTTCAGTTTGTTGTCAAAACTGACAGTTAGAGCAGCGTGGTTAAATACATTAGCCACACTCAATTCTTAACATATACATAATCTGACAATTTAACTGAAAACAAACAGGAAGTGCATTTTCAGATTTTCAGAAGAGCAAACATTTTTTTAATGACATGCAGATGAATTGTTCAACACAAAACTAACAATGTAAATTAACAAAAAAAAATTCTGTTCGTTTAATTTCATGGGGAAGTAAAGCTTCATGTGGATTTATTTCTCATGTTAGGCAAGTCTGAGCATGCGTTTCAGGATAAGAAATGTCTATAGATCAATTACACTTCCCCCATCAACACTATATGAGTGACATGTCTTGTGTATTCAATAGTTTTTGGCTAAACTTTGTAGGATGTCGGACCTCCACCAAGTTTGGGCACCCCTGGTATAGATGTACTAAATAGAGGCTATCCGCAATCGCTCTATGATTGGTCATTTTGGACTATCAACCCTGACGAATAAGACTATTATAGTTGTTAGACTGCCGCAAAATTATGCACATGCCCAATGAGCGTGAATCACATATCATGTATTTTGAGCTGTTTAATATGAAAAGAGAATGGTTTTCTGAAACACAATAAAAAATGCCAGTTTTGAGAAGTAACATTCACATTCTAATTTTATACAAAAACACACTAGTGTATATGGCATTAAAGGCATATAGAACCCAAAACGATAGTTTGGCTAAAAATGAAAATGTCCTCACCATTTGCCCACACTGAGTTTCCTTCTTCCATTGAACACAAAACAAGATATTCTGAAGAATTTTGGGGGATGGGGGGAGGGGGGTTGTGGGGGGGACAGCCATCGCATTGTTTTACTATGGATGAAAATATTATAATCTTCTCTTCACAATATTTTGTCCTTTGTTTAACATGAAAAAATGTAGAAACGTTTAGAACCACTTAAGTAAATGATAAAGAAATTTTCATTTTAGGGTGAACTTTCTCTTTAAATGGGTTCCCTTATGATTATGAGTCACTCTGACTCTTATTTAGCACCATTTTTTAGAGTGTAGTCTCTTTATAAGTGGCTGAACATGAATAATTTTGAAAGGAAATGGCAATGAATGAGGCCACATCTGGTTGGCCGGGTCACAGGTCTGACCAATATTCAAATAGATTCAGATTTAGGAGATTTTCTTATAGGAGGCACAAAACCATACAGAAAAAAATCAAAAGATGAACTCATAAGCTTTGGAAATATT